TTCCATTTAAAAAGTGAAACTTGTATATTATATTCATACATTACATACAAACTCATATATTTCAGATGTTTATTTTGTTTAATTTTGATGATTACAAATGACAACAAATGAAAATCTCAAATTCATCATATCAGAAAATTAGAATATTACTGAAGACCAATAAAAACAAAGGATTTATAGAAATGTTGGCCAACTGAAAAGTATGAACATGAAAAGTATGAGCATGTACAGCACTCAGTATTTAGTTGGGCCTCCTTTGGCCTGTATTACTGCAGCAATGCGGCGTGGCATGGAGTCGATCAGTCTGTGGCACTGCTCAGGTGTTATGATAGCCCAGGTTGCTCTAATAGTGGCTTTTAGCTCTTCTGAATTGTTGGGTCTGGTGTATTGCATCTTCTTCTTCACAATACCCCATAGATTTTCTATGGGGTTAAGGTCAGGAGAGTTTGCTGGCCAATTAAGAACAGGGATACCATGGTCCTTCAACCAGGTACTGGTAGCTTTGGCACTGTGTGCAGGTGCCAAGTCCTGTTGGAAAATGAAATCTGCATCTCCAAAAAGTTGGTCAGCTGCAGGAAGCATGAAGTGCTCTAAAACTTCCTGGTATGTGGCTGCGTTGACCCTGGACCTCAGAAAACACAATGGACCAACACCAGCAGATGACATGGCACCCCAAACCATCACTGACTGTGGAAACTTTACACTGGACTTCAAGCAACGTGGATGAAGTGCCTCTCTTCTTTTCCTCCAGACTCTGGGACCTTGATTTCCAAAGGAAATGCAAAATTTACTTTCATCAGAGAACATGACTTTGGACCACTCACCAGCAGTCCAGTCCTGTTTCTCTTTAGCCCAGGCAAGACGCTTCTGACGCTGTCTGTGGTTCAAGAGTGGCTTGACACAAGGAATGCGACAGCAGAAACCCATGTCTTTCATACGTCTGTGTGTGGTGGTTCTTGAAGCACTCACTCCAGCTGCAGTCCACTCTTTGTGAATCTCCCCCACATTTTTGAATGGGTTTTGTTTCACAATCCTCTCCAGGGTGCGGTTATCTCTCTTGCTTGTACACTTTTTTCGACCACATCTTTTCCTTCCCTTCGCCTCTCTATTAATGTGCTTGGACACTGAGCTCTGTGAACAGCCAGCCTCTTTAGCGATGACCTTTTGTGTCTTGCCCTCCTTGTGCAAGGTGTCGATGGTCGTCTTTTGGACAACTGTCAAGTCAGCAGTCTTCCCCATGATTGTGTAGCCTATAGAACTAGACTGAAAGACCATTTAAAGGCTTTTGCAGGTGGTTTGAGTTAATTAGCTGATTAGAGTGTGGCACCAGGGGCCATCAATTTTGAACCTTTTCACAATATTCTAATTTTCTGATATGATGAATTTGAGATTTTCATTTGTTGTCATTTGTAATCATCAAAATTAAACAAAATAAACATCTGAAATATATGAGTTTGTATGTAATGTATGAATATAATATACAAGTTTCACTTTTTAAATGGAATTACTGAAATCAATCTACTTTTTCATGATATTCTAATTTTATGACCAGCACCTGTATGTGCTTGCAGGTTAACAGATGTTAATCTCCAATTATCTATGGGAATGAGTAACACTTTGCACAGGTTGACAGTCTATTGGAAAACAATACAGACACAGGAAAATGCACAAGAAACATCCAATTAAGGTAGGGTTTGATCATGACTATAGATAGGGTGAGGAACTGTCATCTAGGCAAAGCTTGGAGTAAAAGGCAAAGCTTGCCACTGCTCCTCTACTCTAAAAGAATCAGGGAACTCGTTCCTGAACTCCTCGCACTAAAGGCCACTAACCTGAATTCTAATGTTTTTCTCCTATTGCCTGCAGAAGGCTTTGGAAGACATGAAGAGGTTCACAAGGTGAAGGGACGTGTGTCCTTTCTGTGCCTGTTCTACATGCAACCCTAACTTTGCATGGGAAAATCATTAGAAGTTGGTGTAGGGTGTCCCAAATTCATAAAAAGCAATCATACATAGGAAAGTTGAGCTTAACTGGAAATATAAATCCTTTACCTGTTGTAGTCACACTGGTTCAGTATGCCAATGCAGCCTGACCAACAACATATTCTAGTTAACAAAGCCATAAAGTGAGAAAATGTCCTTTAGCTCCTCAACACATCCAACCTAAAGGGAGTGAAGCCTGTCTTATTTATTTTCTAAGAGGTTAGAGGTTTTTTATAGGAAGCACACAGCTAAGTCTTAAAATTTGTGAAAATTAGAACTCCATTTTATGAGTGGAGAGGATTTTTATTTAATGCAGGAGGCATAAATCAAACAGTCTGTAATTAAGTAATTAAAAGATTGTTTTTACAGCTTAAATATAGAGGAATCTGTTAGGCTGGCATGCTGCAGGTTTGGTTCCATCTGCATTCAGCTGAGCGTCACAGAGCTGAGAGGAGAGGAAGGCAGCAAGAGTGGAAAGAATCACAGTTATTGTCTTAAACATGAAGAATGTTATGCAGTAAACCAAAATATGTTTACAGTTGAGGACAAAAGAGATACATTTACAGCACAAGGCAGATTATCAGATAATTACAACAAAATTCTTTATTTTCAAACTCAAATCCAGTCACTTTCTTTGTTTAGCCTGATGGTCCCGTCTGACTGAGAGCAGCAGCAATTATTCTATATGCCCAGAGTTAGTATGCTGATGCATTGTTAGAGGCATTCGACCTTGCAGAGTGGGAAAAGTGAAGGCGACTGACCCTCGTTATATTGGTCAGAAACCCTCAGGCAAGACGTTAAACCCATAAATGTGTCAGAGGGGACAAACGGGTACCATCTTAGTGTGAATTTGGGTAAATAAGAGATGTTTAGAGTTCAGATTTACCCATTTTTATTTCAGCTCTATAAAAACAGCAAGGTTGCACTAAAAGAGCCAATATAAAATTTTCCCATTAAGTAAGGAATTATAGAAATTACTTAGGCTGTAATCCGGAGGGATAAAAGTCAAGTTAATGGTCTTCTGTCTGACACCTCTGAGTTATTCTACCACTGGACCATTTCTTTACAGATGAACTGCTCTAATTTTAGCTACTAAAATATTAATTTCCAATTTTCATTTTTACGTTAATTAATTTTCATTTAGCTTTTTTATTTTCGGTTTTATCACCACAGAAAATAAACGCCTACTTAAAACTGAAAAAGAAATAATGCAACTACTGAGAGAATACATCTTTACCTTAGTAGGCTTTGTTTTTAAGTCAGAAAGAACTACAGACACGAACTAATGAATTAATCAGATCAAACATGCAGCTGCTGCCAGATAAGGATTTTTCTCCACGCACTAAAACATTCCAAGGTCGATTTATAAAGCTACAAAAACCTGGGAGGGAGTTTCAGATATGATGGATACCATCGAAGCCTTGTTCAGACGACTATTTCTTTACAGCTTCCTCATTCTGAGAGTAGCAATAAATCCTGCGTTTTCATACTCGTACTGAGGCAATGATTCGGCCAGAGGTCAAACCAGTGAGACAGACGAAAACAGGAGACTGTCTGTAGGACCATTAAAAAGAAAATTGCTGAGGATCGACAAAAGCTTTCTTTTTGCAGCAGTAGAAGGCGTGCTATGGTAAAAGGTTACTGTCATTTGGTATGACTAGATCAGCAAACACCCAAGCTTTGATATATTTCATATTATGTGGTAAATTGCAATTTCCAAAGACACTGCACCAACATCTCTTGTCACATTCCAGACTGCCTAGGAGAAGAAAACATCTTCCCCCCTGTTTGGTCTGCTGACATTTTGCTGCAATTTCCTAGTTCTTTGTCACCGCTGCACTCAGCTGCTGTGGGTAATGTGGTTGAGCTAAACTCTTATGTTAGCATAAAGCTATTGTTATAGAAATAAAAATGTACCTCGCTGGAAAACTCAACAAGTGCACACATTTCTTTGATCAAACTATAATAGAACACATTGGTTCAATTCTTGAAGTTTGGTGCCTTTGAAAATGTTTCGACGTAGTTTGACACACAGCTCCTTTCTGCACCGCTGCACATGTTGTGTAAAATGACATGGAGCCGCCTGAATTGCTGCATTAATTCACCTGACCAATGCACACTGAATATTAATCTGTTTTACATTAATTACTCCAGGGGTGACCCATCAACTAGTCCAAGTGGTCACAAAAGAACCCAGAAAAAGACTTGGGGCACAGCAGGCAGTACTTTTACCCATTAGATGCAAAGTTAAACTGGTTCTATAAACAGGCTGTTTATACCTAGTAAATGTCAAATGTGATAAATTTTTTCATAAAAGTTGGGTTTGGATTTCTTAATCAAAAACTGCGTTTACTCCCCTGTTAAAGATAAGCTCTGTGTATGCACCTTGAAGTTCTATCTCTTAGATTCATATTCCTGGAAAGAGATCACTCTGGAAAAACTCTTTAAATAACACTACATAACTTATATGTATTAAATAACCATGAGACATGAGAACAGTTTCTGATAGAAATTGTAATCTTACTCAGATCAGAGAAGTTGCTTAGAATTTACAGAATGGCAGCTGCTTACCAACCGGCCTCGCCTCTCAGGAAGTGGCCTCGATTAACAGCTAAAAAGGCCACATCATAATATTTTACATCACACACATTAGCAGATGAGTAGACATCCATGGCTCCAGCCTTATGAAAATGTAACACTTTGTTCCTAGCTGAAGGACACCGCTCTCAGTCCATTTCCAAATCTTTGCCACGTACAGAATGAAGATTAGAACTGTATATCTAGTCAGAGAAACTTTCTTAACCAGATAAACTATTTTGGAAAACATCAGTTCTGACATGCAACAGGCAGCCAATACCAAGGTGTAATGAACTCACACATCATCAACAATAATTATCCTAACACCCCATTTACTCTGATGTAAAATGAGTTTGAAGGGCAGTCACAGCATTAAAACAACAACCAGCAACTGCGTCTGTGTCAGAGTTCCTCGCAGGAAATAAAAAGCTCAATCCTTACCTGCCATCATCTTCTGGGCCTCATATGGTTCCATGTAACCGTCGTTTTCAGTTGTGACTTTTTCAGTCATGGTCGGACCACCGCCAGCCTGCTCTGCATCAAAAGGGTCAGCGTAGTCTTCCAGGATAATCAGCTGTGTGAGTCAAAGAAAGAAAGAAAGGCAGAGTTAGGATGAGTGTTACAACAGATTCTGGGACACATATCAGTCTGGACCAGGATGGGACGCAGTGACATCAAACCAGGCGAGCCAGAACATAAAGGGAGAAACACATAAATAACAGTAAAACCCCTGTATGCCTCAGCAGACCGCCACAATGCCTCAGCCGATAGCCTCAAATCACGCTCTGCTCTACTGCTGGTCTGCCAAATTATATGATAGCCCAGTGACAGGACTACATTTTAAACTTGGAGGATAGAAGACCACAACTGCTCGACTTTCATAAGAGGAACACTCAGGCAGATTTATGCCAGGCTTGCAGTTAGCCACAGCTAATTGCAGTCCTGCTCTTTTGCCGAGTTCTCTGTGCAATGGATAGCAATTACGTGGATGTCCTGAGTCCCAGAAATACAACTCAAATCTTTGGGGAATGGAGTAGGTCCATGACGATGTGTGCCTTAGGGGGATATTTGTTTTCTTGAAATGTTGGCTTCATTTCAGAGGAGCATTTGGCTGCATGAGAACAAATGAAGCCCTCACTGAAACATCTGTGGTCTTAGCCACTGGATTTAATGAGGGCAAGCAGCAGCTTAGACATCTTAGGAGAAAACATGCTCTTTTTTTCTCAATCAAGGTCATTTATGGATTATGTTGTGACAAAGAATTATATTCCATTTAAAAGCCTGTTAATGCTTTTTAAGGGTTAACTAGAAAACCAAATAACAAAAAACAAAGACAAAACAATTCAACAATAAAAATTAAAACGGCACTACACCCAATGACTCATGCATAACAGGAAGGGATTTGGTTTCATTACAAACAAGCTCTTCAGTCATCTGCTGGACGAGCCTGGGAGGGGAGGACTGAGGAGGACCGAGCCTTGTGCCCATCATACAACTCCTCCACAAAGATTTCCTAAGAGCCTCTGTCTGTAGTTGCAAAACAAGGAGCACACTCCTAAAACCCAACCACCAAACCTCACATAGAGGCCACCCAACTGAACCATGCCAATACAGTTCTGAGAAAGTCATTTTCAACTCAGGAAGGATTTTTATCTAGACTGACGTATTGCAAATGTTTAACTAAATATCAGAAAGTTCACTGAGGGAAATTCTACAAGCTGAGTTGTGACTAAATAGTGCTGGCAGGTAGGTTCCTGCACAGATCAGCCCAACTATACGCAGATTAAGTAAAAAAAGCAGAGGAAGTTTGTTCAGTGGATGTGTTCTTAGCAGCAGTGGTGTGTTAAATCTGCTTCCCTCTCCTTCTCGTCGGAGGGGGAATCAAAAATCCTGTCTAATTCTACTTTATTATGGGCTCATACTTTTACTTATACTCAAGTTGAGGGGAAAAAATCAACGCACCATTCTCTATTGTGTTATTTTTTATAAAAACATACAATACTTTACCTAGATGTTTTATTTTAAAATAGGGAACCAAGGAATTTCTAAATGCACTTTTGAAAATCTTTACACTGATCCTGTGGTTGGTAATCATGTCTGTGTTATATTCAACACAGGTACAATGGCTTAAAAGTATAGTAGAGGATGTTCTTTTTCCAGTTGGATCATCTAAATAAGTTGTCCTCCTAAAAGTCAATCATTCTGGTGATATGTTTACGTAAGGCCGTCCCACGTGCTCATTCTCATTTTCACTTACTGGTGGTGATTGTGACATAGTGGAAATATTTCAAATCTTCTTTTGCAAAGTAAACTTGTATGAGCAATGCAAACTGTAACTTTTAAACAGAACATGTACAATGAGAAATGAGCTTGTGCATGCTCTCATACTCTTTAATAGGCGTTCCCTCTCAGGAGCAGGTACAGGGTTGTGGGTGTGCATTTTGAAAAATATGCAAAAATCCTCCACTTTACCTTTAAAGGAGCATACCGTAAATCCTTTAATATTAGCCTGTATTCCATTAGAGTTCGGGACTCTAACAATGGCCGGTCTCGCTGTCGACGGAGGTAAATAGCGGCCAGTCTCGTATACTGGCCGGGGCTGTAATTAGAACCAACAATGTTCCTGGGCAGTCCTCAACAACTTGTGATAGTAACATACAAGTACCAGAGGGTTACAGAGATCGTTGTGGCCTTACACAATGGTTCTGATCTGACAGACAAATGTGATTACCGGTAGGTCTGGTGGTAACCAGGCAGCATTAAAATTATAGAATTTCTTTGGCTTTTATTGTTCTGAATTTCCCTCGAAATATATGATACTGGTAGCCTACTTCCACTTAGCCTGCCTCAAATAAAATTTTGCTGTGATGGCAGAACCGTTTCTATATATATTTTTTTTAAACTATGTTTCGCAAGTCAGTTTGGCCAAGATCCATTCTGTCTTTTTTTTCATATTGCCGTGCAGAAAAATTGCAGCTGCTGGAAGATGTCTGAATGATGTTCTGTATACCGTTATGGTAACTGCACTTTTTCAATAAATGAACCTAGTATTTTAGAGGTTCAAAGAGACACAAAATCTCATTTTTTATTCATTCCACTGGTAGTCTGTTTTGATCAAACAGAAATAGAGGCCTGCCTCTAATTCTGGCCTCCTTCCAATAATGGCCTGGACTAGGGCTGCAACTAACGATTATTTTAAAAATCGATAAATCTGCCGATTATTTTTTCGATTAATCGATGAATCGGACAAAAAATATTTTTTATATTAACCTCTTTATTCCAAAATAAACATTTTAGACAGAACAAACAAGCACACAAGTACCGGTTGCTCATCAACTGTACTGGTGCAATATGAAAAATAAATGTTTGTGATAAAACTACGCAAACTAACATGAGAAATGTAGCTGTACATCCTCACGGCAGCAGCTGCTGCTGCAGGACAAGAGTAGGAACGATACACGCTTTCACGTAAGAGTCTCCAAAAGCCGCCAGTGACACCGTAAAAAGTCGCCAGATTTGTAGCTAGTCGCTTTTTTTTTTTTATTGTCACTGGAGGGGTCTGAAAAGTTGCTAAATATAGCGACAATGTCGCTGAGTTGGCAACAATGCGCACCTGCAGCACTGGCTCGCTCTGCCGTAATGTTTTTTCTTCCCCCGTTTCAGTCAAGTGGCAGTGATGACGGCGGCGGCGGATGACGCATTAATCGCGCGACACAACTAATCGATGGTGAAATTCGTTGACAACGCTTTTAAAAGTCGATTTTTATCGATTTTATCGATTCGTTGTTGCAGCCCTAGCCTGGACCAAGATGTACCTTAGTGAAATAAAGGTCCCCTCCTATATTAGAGGATTTACGGTAGTTTCCTTTTTAGAGTTTCTGCAGATGTGTGCCCCCTCTGGTGGCATATTGAAATGACACCGGTTTTGTGCACGCATAAGAAAAGAGGAAAAGCAATGCAGTCTGCCATTACAACCTCACAGGTCTTTTGTTTAGAGGAGTAGTGTCTTGTGGGGTAAGGATTATAAATAGAGGACGTTTTTTGTACAGAGCATCTTAACATATTACCAAACAAAAGGCCATTACCAGGGCAGATCTGGCATCACATTTTCTACAGTCAACACAGAAAATCCAGTTTCTGAACTCAATTATGTCCTTTTTTTTATAAGCCAATTCAGTTTTAAACATTTTTTTCTTTTGATCTAGCAGACTGGCTATAAAAAAAAATACTTTATAAAGCTTTATTAATTGGCTCTTATATTATTTTTCTCAAAGGGAAAACAAGTGTAAAAAACAAAACAACATTGGTGGACCAGAAGTTACTCACAAAACGCTTGTATCTCTGCTTTGCAATCAGTGAATTAAATTGATAAAGTCTAAAATTTGCAGCCAGGACCTAAAGCTCTAATCCTCTGCCTTTTTAAAATTGGCATGTTAAAATCATATAATTAGTTTTGCTGAATTTTTCTCACATTAATCTTAAACATAGCTCATTCCATGAACTCAACCACCTCATGGCACTTGTGTCGCGCACCAGTGGATGTCTGGACATGCTTCAGGAAATAATGGAAATAACTTATTGAGTTATGCACTCCTACAGCATGACATCATCCCTTTGCCTTTCCTGTTGACACAATCAAGGAAACATCCATGGCGAGTGATGAAAACTCCTGATAGCATTAGACCAACAGATTCAATGGAGGAGAAGACAAAGGTAGAACTAAAGACTGACGCTCAAATCACACACTGGTTGTTTTCACTTTGACTTTGACATTCTGCAGCTTTTCTTTAGAAACTAAAGCCTCCTGTTAAAAGTCTAAAAGCCCTCAGAAAAAAACTAATGTCAAGTATCAAGAAAAATATTTGCATGAATGTACAAACAAAAGTATTTTTGATTGCTCTGCACGTCTAAAACCACATGAAACCAATCCAAAATATTTTTTTCTAGCAAAAATTATAGTCTGTTTCCAATTGAATCTATCCAGCTCATGTTTTTATATCAATTATCAAATAGATTTTTTTTTATTAAGGGAAATACAAGAAAACTTAATTTTACAGTGACATTGCAACCAAAACAAGGTAATGTACCCTGAATAAGAGTTTCCCAAAGTGTACTAACAGTTATTAACTAAACTAGAATGAAGGATGGAGCAACAGCAACCACTTAGCGTGCCATGGTATTTTATTTACAATTTTTATTGATGCAAATAATGTACCTAAAGTGCATAATTGGATTTAAGCTATTGTAAGAAATTTTTGGCAATTTATGCAGCACTAATACCAGTTCTATAGATTTGCCGCTTATGACAAATGTACACATTCGGATGTTCAATCTATGGCTGTCAAAAATATCGATACTCAAACTCTGTATCTAGATACAATTATGGCTGAAACAATTAATAATTTAATTAATTTATTAATCGTGTTTAATCGATTATTGATATAATCAACCAATTTAGTAATCGATTAATCGTTAACTGGAGTATAGAGACTCTAAAACATGCCTTTAGCTAACAAAACAACCCAGATTAACAGCTTTGCAAAATAATCGTTAGTCTCACCCTTAGATAAAATA